ATATATATATATATATATATATATATATATATATAATAAACACTGATCTCTGGCTGATGGAGACTCGAACCTACGAACCTTGGAACAAGGTACGCAGTGCTATACCAGTCTCACCACACTGGACCAATACCTTGGAGTCCAGCTTGCGCTAGACTTTGATCCAAGGCTGATGCATGCAGGGGATGAGATGAAAAGCTGTAAGCCTTCTCCCTGAAAGCTGGCTGCCTTGGATCAAAGTCTAACGCAAGCTGGACTCCAAGGTATTGGTCCAGTGTGGTGAGACTGGTATAGCACTGCGTACCTTGTTCCAAGGTTCGTAGGTTCGAGTCTCCATCAGCCAGAGATCAGTGTTTATATATATATATATATATATATATATATATATATATATATATATATATATATGCAATACATACACACACACACATGCAGTAATGTTACTCAGCCACGTGGAGACATCAGACTTCAAATGGATCAGTAAGCCAACTTCTCCATAAAATTTTATGTGATAATAGTGTCTAGTCTTTAAGAATAAGTTTTGTCGGTACTTCTGAAGTTAGGAGCGAGACTGATTTCTGTGTAAATGTATTAGTGATGGTAATCATAGCAGATTCCTTCTTGATGCCGGGAAAGTTCATCGATTCTCCGAGCTAGTGTCATCTCCATAACTATTATAATCATGGGGGAGCGCTAAACCCGTAGGATTATACAGCGCATGTGGGGGGGGGAATGGAAGGTATTCAGGCTCAATTCAGGGAACTGGAGCACAGATCCAATTCCCAAGATCAAGAACCCATCACCAGTGTCAAGGAACCTCCCTTAAGGGGAGTGTCATCTCCACCAGGCAGCTCTGTTCACTTCTCCTCGTGTTCAGGTCCCTAGAAGTTTCACCTAAATAAAGCCTGTCATATCCTATAGGAACGGTGTCTGCTGTTTTCTTGTTAACTTATCAATCCTGATTAGGATAGGTTATTGCTTGCATTGTTGACGCGTAGAGTACTGTATCTTCTGTGTTGGAATCTTGTCTGCTACTGCATAGTATCTTACAGTACGTAGTTCTGCCTGTCAACAACGCAAATGAGAACTTTTCCAAATCCTTCACCAAAGCAACATCAGGATTAACTCAGTTAAAAAGAAATCTGCAATCGTAAACACCAGTGCCGAAGACTGTGACAAGTTTACGTAGGTAAAACTTCGAGGAACCTAAGAACTAACGAATTTCACACCTATTCACCACAATTCAAAAGCTTTAGATTAACTTTCCTCGCGCTAAATTAGTTATCAAGAGAGCAAACGGTGGGGAACCCATTGTGTTTGGAATCTGCTCCGACTGCCACCCATCACACAGAAATCGAGTTTGTCCCTAATTTCAAAAGTGCCAGATATGACACTGCTGATACATAATAGTATATGGAAAAGTACTGAAGTCTATCCATTTTTTACCCATCTCTGAAAACTGACAAAGTTCGTGGTGGACATTATATCTCAAAGTGCCATAAACTACAGTGTCACACAAAAACATTCGATCGTTAAAATACATTTTGTCTCACTCGTCGATATTTTGACTTAACCAAAAAATTTGTGGTACATAAAAGAACATAAGCTGTGCATTACAAATTATAATGTGTTCGTATTCAAGTTAATAGTTTAGAAATAATGTAAAAAATATTAAAATACGCCAGAATAATTCTTTGTAGATAGGTACGGCAGAGTCTGCTGGGGCGACTATTCTTGAAGGTGCCTTGATGCCAGTAAAGGGCTCTTGATACAAGGAATTGGATCTGCCCCTGAATAACATGGGGAAAACTGTGTAGCCCCATGAGTCGTGAGTGTAACCCCGTGAGTCGTGATTGTGACCCCCGTTAGTTATGAATGTGACCCCGTGAGTCGTGTGACCGAGAGTCGTATGACCTTCGAGAGTCGTGATGTGACCCCGTGAGTCGTGTGACCCCGTGAGTCGTGAGTGTGATCCCGTGAGTCGTGTGACTCCGTGAGTCGTGTGACTCCCGAGAGTCGTATGACCTTCGAGAGTCGTGATGTGACCCCGTAAGTCGTGAGTGTGACCCTCGAGAGTCGTGATGTGACTCCGTGAGTCGTGAGTGTGACCCTCGAGAGTCGTGATGTGACCCCGTGAGTCGTGAGTGTGACCCTCGAGAGTCGTGAATGTCAGTGGAAAAGGAGAGATGATTGGCTGTCACAGTGAAAACAGTAATGTAAAGAGAATCATATAACTGAAAAAAAACATTGAAAAAGGTCAAAAACTTGAGTTATTACTTTAACAAAATTTTAACCAATTACGAAATCCCCCCCCCCCCCCCAAAAAAAAAAAGCTCACCAAAGATTAACAAAAGTTAATTCCTAAACCCGAGGAGCCATGACGCCATTGAACATGTCTTCTTGACAACAGTTTGAGTTCCTCCACTGGGTGATTGTTCAGGGTACCATGAAACCGAATATTTTGCAGAGCCATTGATAGGATGATTAGATTTAAATTTTGCCATCGAAGCAGCTAGTTTATTGTCATCCCACATCCATCCAGTGGACGGTAGCGCAAGAGCATGTGGAGACAGGATGAGTGATGGTTGACTCGTGAAAAAATTGGATGACCAGGAAGTAGAGATGTATGACGGGGCTTCAGAAACCCCTGGGATGATAAGGAGATGGTTTTGGATCCTATTTTCAGAAGCTTGCAGATCGCACTTAAAATCCCTTTCCCGTTCATCTCTCTCTCCATAAACTGATCACTGGGAGTAAACAAGAGGATAAAGTTGAATATCAAAGTATTTGACAATACCTAAGTGGAGAAATCAACTAGAATCCTTCTAAACACTAGCTAATACGACCACTACGGAGAACTATAATGCTTAGATGGAATGCAGGGCGAGTGTAGGTGCAGTGTGGAATCAAAGAAAAAGGAAGTACTAACAAAAGAGAAACCCCTAAGAATACAGAGGAAAGACGGTAGATGACGTAACAGAAAACTAAAAATATCTTCAACAGATGGCGCCATATACAGCCCCTCTCGAAGTACAACTAAGAACCTCTCAACTGTATTACACAGTCACACGAATAGAAACATACTTCGAGTATCATTTTCCTTTACAGTGTGACCCTATGAGTCGTTGGTGTGACCCCATGAGTCGTGGGTCAGACCCCTTGAGTCATGGGTGTGGCCCCTTGAGTCGTATAAAAACGTTGGTTGTGGTTGACTATGACCCTACTAGTCATGCAAGTCATGATTGTGACCCCGAGAGTCATTTAGGTCGTGCCTATGACCAGGTGAGTCGTTCAAGTTGCAGGTGTGACCCCTTGAATTGCGCAGGCCGTGGTTATATCCTCGAGTCAGGTAATGGGTGTGACCACATGAGTCGTGCATGTGACAGTCACACAGATCGTGAGTGTTGCATCGTGAGTCATGCAGGTCTTAGGTGTGACCCAGTGAGTCACTCACTTTATGCAACCCTCTTTTTTCCCTCCACATCAACGGGTGTGACCCCTGAGTTGTTGTCATGTGACCTTGCGAGTTGTGCAGGTCGTCGGTGTTATCTAGTGAATTATACAGGTCGTCGGTGTTATCTAGTGAATTATACAGGTCGTGGGTGTGACTTCGTGAATTGAGGTCGTGTGACTTAGTGCATTATATAGGTCGTTGGTGTGACCTCGTGGATTATACAGGCCGTGGATGTGACCTCGTGGATTATACAGGTCGTGGGTGTGACCTCGTGCATTATACAGGTCCTGTATGAGGCCGTAGATCGTGAACCAGCGAGTCATACAGGTCATGATAACCGAGTTAAGCAGGTCATGGCCATGATCATGCGAGTCATACAGGCTACGGGCATGAACTAGTGAGTCACACAGGTCATGGACATGAACTAGCGAGTCATATAGGTCGTGGGCATGATCCAGCATGTCGTAGAGGTCATGGGCTTAATTTAGTGAGTTCTTAAAGTTGTATGACCCGGTGAATCATTCAGGTCATAGACGTGAGCGAATTTAAATAGGGTATTTTACCCTATTAGTCATACAGGTCATGGGTGTGACCAGTGAGTCGTACAGGACATGGGTGTGACCTGTTAGTAGTACAGGTCATAGGTGAGACCAGTGAGTCATACAGGTCATGGGTATGACCAGTGAGTCGTACAGGTCACGGGCATGATCCAGTGAATCGTACAGGTCACGGGCATGATCCAATGAATCATGCAGGTCACGGGAATGATTCAGTGAATCATCCATGTCACCGGACTGATTCAGTGAATCATACAGATCACGGGAATGATTCAGTGAATCATACAGGTAACGGGAATGATTCAGTGAATCATACAGGTCACGGGAATGATTCAGTGAATCATACAGGTCACGGGAATGATTCAGTGAATCATACAGGTCACTGGAATGACCCAGTGAATCATACAGGTCACGGGAATGATTCAGTGAATCATACGTGTCACGGGAATGATTCAGTGAATCATACAGGTCACGGGAATGATCGAATGAATCATACAGGCCACGGGGATGATCCAGTGAATCATACAGGCACGGGAATGATCCAGTGAATCATTCAGGTCACGGGAATGATCCAGTGAATCATTCAGGTCACAGGTGCAAGTTACCAGGCGAGTCACAAAAGTGAATGCCCGCAACAATGAATTTTTTTTTGGTCCTTCCTCTTCTGAGATTCCTCACTATCACAAAAGTCAAAAAGATTTTGGCTTTAACCACACAAAAATATATTTCTTTTTTAATTCTGTTAATTTTCCTGGTGGGGTGCCGCCCCCCTCCTCCCACCTCACCATCTCCGCTGCCTACTTCCCTACTGGCTTTTTCAACCTCCCCCTCTCTCTCTCCCCCCTACGCTCCATTTTTTGGCTTGTTTATTTCCCCCAAGCCCCCCACGGACTGCCCCTCGTCCCTCCTGGACGAAAGGTGACGATACAAAACTCTTGCAAACTCCTTCAATACCATGGAGATATAACAGAGTTCGTCCCCCCTTGTTCCAGCTCCGCTATCTTCAGACGCTCAACGCAATATCGGCAGAAAACAACTCAACCATTATATTCCCGCTGCCCATTGACGTCTTAACGCATATGATTCAGAAAAAGGATGCTGAGTAAATCAGGTACAATGGCTTATGACTTCGGTGGACGGAATGTGGTAGATTGGCCTAAAGTCTCCGCGGCTCGAGTACACGGTGACATATGGACGATAGGGGTCGTCTCTCCTTCCCTTCTTTACTCTTTCTGTCATTGTTTTTCCTACATCTGCAATTCATGCTGGTGCAAACATGAGTTTCTTTCACAGATTTTTTCGCACTAGCATTTGCCTAGCACCACATGTTATTGTATATTATAGACACCTGTGACATAATCAGCCCTCGAATCGTAATTATTTTTCACTTCCAGGACAACATAAATTGACAGTGAGAAATCATTATATATATAACATATATATATATATATATATATATATATATATATATATATATATATATATATATATATATATATATATATATATATATATATATGAGCCTAAACTACAAGAATAACAGACTAGTAACATTCAAAGTAGATTTAGAGGGAAGACACGTTAGTCCTGAGAGGAACCCTGACCAACGATGTCCACCGAGGCCAGGTCAAACGTAGACACTTAGAGGCTTTGTACAGTTTGGCTGTCCTCGATATATATACATATACATACATAATATATTTTATATAAATATATATATATATATATATATATATATATATATATATATATATATATATATATATAAATGTATATATATATATAACATATTCGGAAAAAATCGTAACGAACGACTGTAAATAAATCCATGTAAAACTGGATTTGAAGTTCACGTGAAGATATGCACGTGCAATGCCTGCGCTCTACCATTGCACTGCGGTGGTTACAAAAGAAGAGAGCAACGCCCATTGGGCAGTGGTAGCCGATGTCCTGATCTATGACGTCATTTGTTGGATTTTTATTGCTTTCTTCCCTACCATCAAGGGTTCAATGATACATCTAGCTTCTGTCCCTTCAAAGTCAGAGTCAATGTACCTGGCACGTGCTAACCTTCTCCACTAAGGGTTTCTCTCTCATATCGTAACCACCACAGCAGAATGGCAACAAAACATACGATTCGCACACGCATAGCCTCTTGTTCGATTCCTCCAGTTTTACTTGAATGTATATTGTGTATATACATGAATATAATATATATATAATATATATATATATATATATATATATATATATATATATATATATATATATATATATATATATATATATCATGCCTGACTGTGTGACTGTAGCTGACCGCTGTCTGACCCCATGGTGTCATGGTTGTCCACACTCGCCCAGATGAGGCGTTGCCAGCATCACTCAGATGGTGAAGGCCAGACCTCGCCAAGCGAGTCAAACTTCAGTGATCTCAAACAATATGCCTTCATTTGTTTCAGTACTTCTTGATTTTGGAGGCTACGGGAGCAAAAACAGAGAACATTGTTCTTAAATATTTTAAAACAAACTTGCAGTATTTTTAATACAATTATAATGCCACTAAAATTCTCATTGTTAGAGTTCATTATGAGACTGATAAACCTATTCTGCTCAAACAGAGGCAGATTTCAGGGTCCACTTTGCAATGTGTCAAGTTTGCACTGCAACAAACTTCTGGAATCTGTCATGTCACTCTGAGACAACCTCATCACTCCCTTTGCACAACACTTTGATCTATCAATTCCTTAAGAAATGAGAGAGAAATGTTTGAGATCGCATGATGTAGCTTGGTTGAAGGAAGGAGAGGCATGCATCACCAAGATGCGTTTGTGCTGACAGCATCACCAAGATGTGTTTGTGCTGACAGCATCATCACCAAGATGTGTTTGTGCTGACAGCATCATCGCCAAGATGCGTTGTTGCTGACAGCATTCATCACCAAGATGTGTTGTTGCTGACAGCATCATCACCAAGATGTGTTTGTGCTGACAGCATCACCAAAATGTGTTTGTGCTGAGAGCATACCAAGATGTGTTTGTGCTGACAGCATCGTCACCATTGTGAAGTGCTATTAGCGAAGCCACGATCATGGTGAATTGATGCTAGATGATTCATCACCAAGGCACAGCGGTGTTGGTTCCATCACCAAGGTGAAGCGGTGATGAACCTACCACCAATTTTTGACGATGCTGGAGGCACCATCATCAAGGCAGTGGGTTCAGGACCCATCACCAAGGACACTCAGTGACAATTTCCAGCAACCTTTGAGCGGGCACAAGCTTTTCCTGGTCTTCTTACAAGGGTGATTCACCCGGGGTTAGCATGGGGGAGGTATCTCGATATGGAACACCATCTTTCCCTCAGAAATTTCTCAAAAGAAGCTCATCTTTTTCAAAGATGAGCTGTACGAGAAATAAACAATATATTCAAGTTATCCTTAGATGTGGTTGTTTCACCGAGTACATCCTACCGTTTATTCCATGCAAGTGTTCCATCCCCCCTGTTAGTCTGACTAGCAGCATCAGTGGAAAATAGAGCACCTTGCAACTGGCTCAAAGCATCAACATTTGTCCTCCATTTAGCAAAAACCTCCCAAACATTTTCGTTTTTTATTACACCTCCACATCCCTTCCAGTGGCGACACCTCACACCAAAATGTGTAGCAATCATAGTTCTTCCTTAACTAAAGTTCCAATGACCAGAGAAAAATGTAAGAAAGTGTTATGTACTTCATTACCTCAATCTTATTCCCTCTTTAAGCAAGCTGTCGGGAGAGTCACTCTTTTATTAGGACCTTGACGCTAAACCATTGTATATCTCTATATATATATATATATATATATATATATATATATATATATAATATATATATATATATAATATATATATATATATATATATATATTATATAATTTGTCTTGTGAAATGTCAGTTCCTTCGTCATTGGCAATGCAATCTCTCTCCCTTTCTCTCTAAGTATTAACAATAAGTTCAAACAAGCATGCGTGAAATGTTGACCAGTAACGAAGGGCTTGTGGGCAAGGTGTTGGTGCGAGGCAGGGGACCAGCCTCACACCTGGGGCAAGTGTACCCGCGTTCCTGACTTCCCCGGTGTGTGAGGTTCCATCTGGGATGGCTTCTTTATTCCACCTGGGGAAAAAGAGGACAGCCTTTTAGGCTTCTCCGCTTATGTGAGTTGAGGAACCAGTGGTGCACCACATTCCAGGCTACCAATTGGCACTACCAGTGGAGGAACACCACTTAGGCTCCTCACTGACACCACTAGGAAACGAGGCCCACCACCCAGCTCCCCATAGGGCCACCAGTACAAGAGCTCTACTATCCAGGCTCCCCTACTGGAACCACTCATGGTGGAGCACCACCATCCAAGCTCCCCCACTGAAACCACTCGTGGTGGAGCACCACCATCAAGGCTTCCCCCCTGGCACCACCACCCTCCCACAACAGTTCGCATGATCCTGCCGCTGCCACCAATCCCCTCCCATTTATCAAACTAACCCCCGCTGCAAAATTTGATTCTTAAAAAAAAAAAAAATAAGCATGATCCAAAAAAATTTCTGAATGTCAGTTGAACCCAGCCAACATTTCGAATTACTCATAGAGCAATGGTTTGCGCCTCATCTAGCTTTTGTCTGAACTGAAGGTTGCATGGCGTGTTCCAAGTCTACTTCTACTAATTCCACCACCACTATAACCCCTTCCCACCTCCTCAAACACTCCCTCCTTAAAGTGCCTCCAAACCTCCCCTAAAATGTTTCTCCAAAAGTTACAATGTCCCATTCAACTGCATTAATATGTAAGATTTGTCATCATGTATGTTTCACCCAAAACTGCATTTACTGCTCGTCTTGTATCATCTCCACTGTCCCTATGTCATGTCTCCCTCCACCAAGACTTCCCCAATAGTCCCTCTGACCTGACACGACCTATTTTGACCTGAACTGCTCTCTTTTCTCCTCTCTCTCTATCTCTCTCTCTGGCTGGCAAGGACGACAAGCGGTGACATGCCAAAGAAAAAGAAATTCGCAGTACGTGAACCATCTCGACTCTGCACCACTTTCAGGTCAACTGAACACCATCAGTGTACTACTGCCTGTTAGTTTATGGCCTCTGGTACTAATTTGACTTTGGGCCAGTCACCACTCGGACTCTCGGAGCAAATAGAACAACAGGAGCACTAATAGAAGGATGGTACTACTAGGAAAGAATAATATTGATTTGATATTCACTTCATCAACTGTTCTTTTTCCAAACTGGAGAAGAGGTGCTCAACAATTAATTTCTAATACTTAACCTCAGATACCTGTAAGTGCCTCAAAGATCCTTAAATTTCTTCAAGGTTTAGATACGAAACATTGTATATGTTAAAATCATATGACAACGCCAAACCATTCTTTTGAATTGAGAATATAAAATTTAACATATTTCTAGAGGTTGATTCAGGACGGCCCAAATATAACTAGAACTAGCATACAGATCACAAGTAAATATGATTTTTATATTGCTACATTTATCACCGTCATTACAAAACCTTACGTTTATATGCAAAGAGTCAGCATACAGTGCCTTCTTATAGTTGAAATGTTAGTCTGGTGAGAGTGAGAGGAAGTAGGGAAAGAAAACACCAACAGAAGTTACTCTGTTTCTTGGCCTTCCTATTTTACATATATTACTGTTTACACTAATTGCTAGGAGACGAGATAGAAGGTAAATATTTGCTAAATTCAAAAAGAGGAAGAGACCAACCAAAATTTAGCATAACCAAAACGAAGGTATTTGCTGAAAAATGCGTTTTGAATTAGAGCTGCTTCGCGACCCCGTCTGGGATCACTCAGCGAGAAACGTGTTAAGTGCGTAGAAATTTTGCAATACATTCAAAATAACAGGCGTATCTCTTGACATCACTGCCGACGGGACGACTCAATATTATATATATATATATATATATATATATATATATATATATATATATATATATATATTATATATATATATAAAACCTCACTTTATGCTATTTTAATCTGGACACTTGGTAACTTACAAAGAATTACGGCTCAAATATTTTAAAGAAAATCGGATAATTTTGCACTCCCTTTATAAATAATACATTTCCCACGATTGTGAGCCCTCGATCATCCCGCCACCCGAGAGAGAGAAAGAAAGAAAGAAAGAAAGAGA